TAAAGTTCACTAATTGCAATGAAATGAACCCAAATTATCTCCTTTGGTTCATTTTTGGAATTAAGACAGTAGATTGTTCCTCAATTATCTCCTTTGACCAATTTGCATCAAAGCCGCAGAATGAATTTTTTCTAACATAACTATCTATAATTTCATAGTGAACATAAATCAGTCTAATATGAAGCCTACTTTGAAACCAATCAACAGAACTGAAATTTCCCAAATTCACAAACAGGTCCACAACACATAAATCCATAAGTATCTATGATATACCTAGTAGACGAGCATTCTCGGAGGGTCGTCAGAGCGCTGATGGCGTTCACGAAAACTGTCACTGCTTCCCGGACGCTGTCAGAGTCAATAGAATACGCAGCTACCGCCTAGGACCTGTTTTCCATAGCCCGGACGTAGCTGGAACTCAACAAGGTTGCTGATGCTCGGGTCATGCCTCGGAATCTATTATCAAGACCTGTTGTCGCCTCAGCTCACTTCTTCCGTCGGTGCACATGGACGCCATCGCCGTCCCAAAGGAAAAGAAGGTTCTCGGCTGGTCACATGGATCAAATAAAAACAGGAATCAGCCCCAATGGAAGAAAAACACAGAGAGAGTTTTATAACCCATGAATTTGAAGTTTATTTGGGCCCAATTTGGGTCTCTAAAAATGTTTATTTCAACACTTAAAAATGATTAGTTAGCATTTATGAAGGTCCGGTTCCACAAGCCTAGTAGGAAATTGAACCATTTTGGATTGCCACAATGTTTGGGCCATAACTTTGGCTATTAGGTGTCTGATTTTAGCAGTCTACCCCTTTACGGAAACGTCTCGGCGAGACACCCAGGGGCTCGATCAGTCAAAGACCATCTTTGACCCAAAATCCTGCTTTTTAGATAGTTAATTTTGCAATTTTGTCTTTTTGGGATCTTTTTCCTACGTGTTTACACTTTTTTAGCTATGAATACCCTGTTTGTGAGCATTTTTATGCAGACTTGATATGACAGTTACTTTGATTTTTGGTTTCCAATTTCACGGTCAATCCCCTGATTTTTGGTTTACGATTTGTAGTTGACTGACAAATCTTTTAACCGTATTGGAAATGGTTAAGAATCTCTACCTTATTGTTCTACATCAATAATATGAATAATTATACATATCTCCACTAGCGTTTTCATCTCTCTCGATTTTAATTTGTTGATTTGTTCTTTTATCATATGTCTTGATTTTATTCGGTTAGTTTAGTCTTTTAATTTAACTTATAACTTAAAAATCTGAAATTAAAAATTATAATTTTTAATCTATAAATATTCAATGTAAAAAAATTATTTTTAATCTTTAATTTTTAATTTTTTATCTTTTAAATTTATAATTCATTTTCAATATCATATATTTTTGTGCGACCAAATAAAAAAATTCAAATTAAGGTTTTTCATTCCCAATTTCATGACCTTAATTTCGTGTACTAAATGATGCCTAATTTTATGTTTTTTTATAATTAAGATATTTAAATTAAATGTCAATAATAAAATCAATACCGACAGATAAAACGTTGTTGATAAAGCTATAAACAATACTGACAGATATATGTTTGTTGCTAATAATATAAACAATATTGACAGATACATTTTTTGTTGCTAATACTATAAACAATACTGACAGATAAAGTTTTGTCGCTAAAACTATAAGCAATACCGACAGATAAAAGTATGTTGCTAAAACTACAACCAATAGCGACAGATATTACTCTTTCTGTGGGTCAAATAGTTTTTACCTTCAAATAATTTTATCTGTCAGTAATATTCTTTTTTAGCGACAAATAAGGTTTCTGTCCCTAAGAATCTGTCGCTACTGCCCTCATTTTTTGTAGTGCTGATGTATTTTAACAAACTATTTCTCCTAATGATGAGCACATTTCACAGATTTCCATGAACTTCTCAAACCAATGACGTTTTTTCTATTCACATAGACGAACATAACGTATTTTCAATAAATCAAGAATTGTTTTTGAGCCTAAACAACCTCAAATTAATGAAAATTACAAACGAACACACGAAAAAATACACAATCACTCAATAACGAATTCTAAGAAAAATGAATCATCTTATGGGGCTAAGAAGTCTAAAATTCCTAAAATCAACTAAGACAAGCACAAAAGAGATTCACGTATGAATTCGTAGTTCATTTAACTACCTTATGGAGCTAAAATAGGTTCAACAAAAACCGAATTCCACATGCCAACCTACTTATGAAATCGAATTATGCAATTCAACCAATTCAACAACAACTTGCTCAATAATTGAAGAAAAACTAGTTTGAATCAATTCTCATTCATAAGGGATATTAATATAAACATGAAAAAAACACATAAAGAACACCAACCATTTTTTTAGATTTGAAATTAAAACAAAGAAACAAACAAAAATGTAAGAGTTGGATAAAAAACAAATTTTTTACATAGAATTGGAGAATAAAATAAAAATTGACAAATAAAGGTTACCCATTGTTGACGAAGATGAACAAATTGAGTAAACTGGAGCTGTGATGGAACAGCCTAACCTCTGCCCAGAGCTACTGCCGACAGCTTGCCGGAGATGATGCCGTCGCCGGTTCGTGTCTGCCGGCCGTCCACCGCCGCGCCAGAGATGTCCGCCGGAACCCGCCATAGAAGCTCGTGTGTTCCCCCCCCCCCCCTCTTTTTGAAGCTTTAATCATCTATTGAATATTCCAGCGGGAAAATAAAAATAAGATGATTCGAACTTATAAAACGTTCGGATTTACAACGAAAATAAAACAATGAGAAATGGAGTTCTTCGGGAGCTCGAACGGATGCAAGAACATGAACGGACTCTACGTCGGATGAAAAACAACGGGTCGCCGGAGATTTTTTTGGAAGCGTAGGTAAGGAAAGCGGAGTCGCCGAAGCTTTCGTTAAGGTAGTATTGCCCGCCTCCCGCACTGGCAAACATGGGCAATCTCCTCCCACGATAAAACCGCAGTGTGCTAGGTCTAGAGCGGTAGAACAAAGCACCGGCAAACGAGAACGACAGGAGTTATAGCCGGAGAAGATGATCAGAAATGGGAGATGGTCGGAAAGTTTGTATAACGCAGAGAGAGAGATTTTCGAGAGTATGTTCTTCTCCTGCACCCATGCCCTCCTTTTATAGGAGGGAATTCTTGGCTCTTCGCTGGACCGTCGGAGATTACGAAGAGATGAGTGTCTCTTCGGTCTCAAGTGCATGCATGCTCATTACAACGGCACTTTGTCAGTCACGAAGTGTCCACGCGTGTTTAATTCGGTCTCAAAAAAATTTGGCCTCGCCACGCCGTAGACGCGGGCGCGACGCACCTCGCCATGCCACGCCCCGCGGCGACGCGCGCGCGCGTTTCGTGCCGTGCCAAGCCGGACGGACAGCGGCAGCGGCGCGCGAGGAGTCCTCTTGTGTTCCTTTCATAAGCTCAATTAAAAGCCTAAGCTTAAATATGAGAATATGAAAGGTTCAAAAAACCAGTGTGGGACAAGGGTATTTACTCTACCCTCGTATTCAACTTTGAGAATTAATTTCTCATTCACCCGAGCACCATTTATGGCGTGTCATATGTCAAGACGTTCTTCTTACTTACGAGATTAAACGTCCATAATTATTTCGGAAAATAATTTTGTGGACCCTACCGAATTTATGTCCGAAAAATGTCCAATTTACTTAAAATTTCCAACAATCCCCCACATGAATGAAAATTAATTCATGTAACTGGCAATAACTCTGAAGTTTAAACCTGCAAGAGTAGGTAGGTTTTATGCCTTTGAACCTACTCCTTGTAAAGTATACCTTCTGTACTCGCTGTTCAGTAGAACGTGATGTCTTTGAACTGCACTACCGTTTATGTAAACGATGATATACAATACACAAGTTTCAACCAACCATCATTCCGTTCTCATGGGTGTGCCTATTATGGTCGTGGAAATCCTTCTGTTGAAGCGACTGCACTTCACTCTTACATAGGTGATTCTTCTAAGAGTATCCCGATTACTCCACTTGGACCTCGTTGTCCATAGTTCAAGAATCATTAAAGCGTCATGCTAACCTCATCGCTTTCGAGAGTCACTGTATCTCTGTAGGAACGGAGGGGTGTAAAGTCGGTGATCCGGCTTGCCACCATAGTGACCGTGCTTCGTTCCACAAGTAGGTTGTCCCATTGAACCCAGGTATCACCTAGGTTGGGTTTTCCTTCATGGAACGTTCCCAGCACAGGGTAGGGCTTTCAGACCCATTCCTACCACTAACTTCTCATGTTGCTCATTTGTTAACCCTTTGGTTAATGGATCCACTAAATTATCCTTTGACTTGACATAGTCAATTGAGATAATACCCGTATTGAGAAGTTGTCTAATGGTTTTGTGTCTACGGCGAATGTGCCTAGACTTATCATTATACATTTTGTTCCGAGCTCGTCCTATTGCCGACTGACAGTCACAGTAGATGCAAATAGGAGGAACTGGTTTTTCCCAGTTTGGAATATCCTCTAGTAAATTCTGAAGCCACTCGGCATGTTCTACACTGTAACACCCCAACCCCAATTTCATGAATTCAACACAAACATCCACAATACTCAGTCAATCGCAAGATTATACGCTAAGGTAGTTCTAATCTACGAATTAACGCTAACGAAAGGTATAGAAACCACGAATCACCTCAAAATTGACGAAATTGAAGGCTAGGGTTGAGGGAAGAACCACCGCTACAAATTTGGTTCCCGCAGGTTTGGTGCACGCGATGAAGGAGGCGGTGACGACCGGCGATAGGTACGACGCCGTCTGTGCTCGGTGATGGCAGCGGCGTCTCTGCTCGGTGATGGCAGCGGACGGAACGGCAACGGAGAGAGAGACGGCGGCGACTGGCAGCGTCGGCTCCCTGGTCTGTGTCTCCGGTCGGTGTCTCTTGCCGACGGTACAACGACGGAATACGGCAGGCAGAGCAGGGAGGGTCGTGCATTACAAAAATGGATTTCCGTAACCTCCCCGGGAGTTTATTACTCTCTCCGTCCGGGAATGATGTTCCCGGTTTGACTTTTCCTCATTTTTAAGAGGGCTTGATTTAAGACTTAAATAGACTAAAATGCCCTTGCTCCCTTTGTACACTGCCCCTCCACTACCCAGCCCAGATTCCAGCTACCACCGCACAATCGCACCAGACATCTCGTCGCCACCATAACTTTCACCGTCAACCCCATACCCATCACTCGTTGAACATCACAATCCTTACCTACCTTGCAGAAAGAACATCCCAAGACTATAGATCTATGAGGAAGTGAAGTTACACGGTCACAACATCAAATTCGCCTACCCCCTTCTTCGATCCGTTCATTTCGTGGTTCGAAGGGGCTCTCTGATCCATGGGTAGCATAGGTTTCACACAGATCTGACGGGAAAAACGGAGAAAAAATTAAAAAAACAAAAGGGGCGGCGTGAAGAGAGAAATCGAGAGAGGAGAAGATGATATATATGATGGCCGATCTGATAAAAAAGAAGAAAAAAGAAATAAGAAAAAAAACGAGGAGAAGAAGGAGGTGGGGGAAGAGAGAGAGAGAGAGATAGAGAGAGATATGGATTTGGCCGGCTGAGGAAGGGGCTGGGAGAAAGATGAAGAAGAAACAAAAAGAAAAAGGAAATGAAGAGGCGCAAGAAGAAACGGGAGCCTGGGAAAAAGTAAGGAGAAAGAAAGTGGAATATTTGGGTGGGGGTATTTTTGGAAGAGTTGAGATGAAAAAGTAGAATGGGAACATCATTTCCGGACAAAAAAACGTATAGTGGGAACATCATTTCCGGGCGGAGGGAGTATATAATTAAATATATTTAGGGTCCACTTTACATTCTTTTATCAATTAGGATAATTTAACCCCAATTACCTGATTCGTCAATCGTATCTTGGGCCCAATAGGTCCGATTCATGATCCGTTTGTGTGATCGGGTTCAGAACAGCAAGCTCTATAACATAGGATAAATCCCCCATTAATTTAGGCAAGTTAGAAAATAACCCTCGTGTTGACCGGCCCAATATTTAATTAATTTTATAAATTGAATAAAATATTAAACCGGGTTTCGGGGCGTTACTTTTCTCTCCTCCTTAAAAGAATTTCGTCCTCGAAATTACATGAATCATTGTCGCTGGAAAGGTGAGGATATCGAACTCTCATATAATCCCTAGTCTCCCACGTGGCTTGTTCAACGGCATGGTTGCGCCACAGGACTTCGACCAAAGGCACCCGCTTATTTCCCAACTTCTTTACCTCCCGTGCTAGGATCTGCACAGGCTCCTCCTCATAAGTCAAGTTATCATCCAAAATGATTGTTCCCTCGCGTAACGATAACTTGACTTATGAGGAGGAGCCTGTGCAGATCCTAGCACGGGAGGTAAAGAAGTTGAGAAATAAGCGGGTGCCTTTGGTCGAAGTCCTGTGGCGCAACCATGCCGTTGAAGAAGCCACGTGGGAGACTAGAGATTATATGAGAGTTTGATATCCTCACCTTTCCAGCGACAATGATTCATGTAATTTCGAGGATGAAATTCTTTTAAGGAGGAGAGAAATGTAACGCCCCGAAACCCGGATTAATATTTTATTTAATTTATAAAATTAATTAAATATTGGGCCGGTCAACACGAGGGTTATTTTCTAACTTGCCTAAATTAATGGGGGATTTATCCTATGTTGTAGGGCTTGCTGTTCTGAACCCGATCACGCAAACGGATCAAGAATCGGACCTATTGGGCCCAAGATACGATTGACGAATCAGGTAATTGGGGTTAAATTATCCTAATTGATTAAATAATGTAAAGTGGACCCTAAATATATTTAATTATATAATAAACTCCCGGGGAGGTTACAGAAATCCATTTTTGTAACGCACGACCCTCCCTGCTTTGCCTGCCGTATTCCGTCGTTGTACCATCGGCAAGAGACACCGACCGGAGACACAGACCAGGGAGCCGACGCTGCCACTCGCCTCCGTCTCTCTCTCCGTTGCTGTTCCGTCTGATGCCATCACCGAGCAGAGACGCCGCTGCCATCACCGAGCACAGACGCCGTCGTACCTATCGCCGGTCGTCGCCGCCTCCTTCATTGCGTGCACCAAACCTGCGGGAACCAAATTTGCAGCGGTGGTTCTTCCCTCAACCCTAGCCTTCAATTTCGTCAATTTTGAGGTGATTTGTTGTTTCTATACCTTTCGTTAGCGTTAATTCGTAGATTAGAACTACCTTAGCGTATAATCTTGCGATTGACTGAGTATTGTGGATGTTTGTGTTAAATTCATGAAATTGGGGTTGGGGTGTTACATGCACACTTATCTAGTGCTATGAACTCAGACTCCATGGTGGATCTGGCAATTAACGTTTGTTTTGAGGACTTCTAGAAAACGGCTACACCCGCTAACATAAAGATAAATCTGCTTCTGGATTTTGAATCCTTATTATCCGCAATCCAATTGGCATCAGTGTATCCTTCCAACACAGGTGGATACCTGCCATAGCATAGGCTATAGTCTCGAGTATAACGAAGGTATCTCATTACTCAGACTATGGCCTTCCAGTGCTCAGCACTCGGATTGCTAGTATACCTACTTAGTTTGCTAATGGCGCAAGCTAAATCTGGCCGTGTACAGCTCATTAGATACATCAGACTTCTGATGACTCTAGCGTATTCTGTCTGAGAATCGCTACTCCCTTGGTGTTTACCAAGGTGAACATTTACGTCTATCGACGTCTTAGCTATCTTTGCATCATCCTTATTGAATTTATCAAGGATTTTATCAATGTAGTGGGATTGGCTCAAGCTTAGACCATCTGGTCTTCTTATTATTTTGATTCCAAGAATCACATCAGCCAGACCCAAATCTTTCATATCGAATCGTGCGTTCAACATGTCCTTGGTAGACTTAACCATCTTGTCGTTGCTTCCAACGATGAGTATGTCGTCTACATACAGACATAAAATGACATACCCTTCAGATGTGTCCTTAAAGTATACGCACTTATCCGACTCATTTATCTTAAAACCATTATTCATCATTACTTTGTTAAACTTATCAAGCCATTGTTTTGGTGCTTGTTTAAGACCATATAATGATTTCACAACTTTGCAGACCTTCTTTTCTTGGCCTGGAACCTTAAATCCCTCGGGTTGTTCCATATAGATTTCTTCATATAGTTCGCCATTTAGAAAAGCTGTCTTCACATACATTTGGTAACCATCCAGGTTTCGTAAGGATGCAAATGCGATGATCATTCTGATAGAATCTATCCTAGTCACAGGCGCGTAAGTATCAAAGTAGTCATAGCCCTCGCGTTGGCTATACCCTTTGATCACAAGTCTAGCTTTGTACTTGTTAATGGAGCCGTCAGGCTTCATTTTCCTCCGAAAGACCCATTTGGAACTGCTTACACCCTGGAGGGAGATCAACCAATTCCCACGTGTGATTCTGAAGAATAGAATCTACTTCACTTTTTATGGCTTCTCGCCACTGAGGTCCCTCGGTTGAGGTTACGGCCTCGTGATAGGTCCGTGGTTCCTTTTCTACCAAACAAGTTAGAATAACGGGTTCATTTTCCATTAGAAATTACAAAGTTCCTTTTTCAAATTCTATCAGATATGTTATGAAGTCAGAACCGAACGTCTTTTCAGTTCGTATTCTTTTACTTCGTCTCAACTCAGTTTCATGTTCGACTTCATCATCGTCACCGGAATTCAACTGATTTGGATCATCGTTATCCATCATCTCATGATCAGTATTAGAACGTTTGGACGAACTAGCTTCACAACTTAACTTGCACGGAAAAATATGCTCGAAAAACGTTGCATTCCGTGACTCTATGATCGTGTTCTTGTGAATTTCACGATTATCTGATTTGTACACCAAGAACCGGTATGACGTACTATTGTATCCGATGAAGATTCCATCAACTGGTTTTGGACCGATCTTCATCTTCTTTGGTGGTGGTGCAAGTACTTTCACGAGATACCCCCACACTTTGAGATACTTATAGGAAGGTTTCCTATTATGCCAAAGTTCATACGGAGTTTTGTCAAGTTTCTTACGAGGTATTTTATTTAGTAAATAATTACTTTATAAAATAGCCTCCCCCCACATGTTCTAGGGTAATCCAGAACTAAGTAGCATCGCATTCATCATGTCTTTTAGAGTGCGATTTTTCCGCTCCGCTACTCCGTTAGACTGCGGTGTATACGGTGGGATTACTTGATGCACTATTCCATGTTGTGCACAAAAGTCATTAAGTGGAGCATCATACTCACTACCTCGATCGCTTCTCAATGCTTTTATCTTGCAATTGAGTTGATTTTCCACTTCATTCTTATATCGAATAATGTCTAACGCTTCATCTTTACCTTTTAGTAAATAGATGTAGCAATATTTCGTGCTATCATCGACGAAGGTAATAAAGTAATTATTACCCCCTCTTGAAGGCGTTGTTCAAAAATCACATAAGTCGGTGTGAACCGACTCTAGAGGTTGAGTATTTCGTTCGATCGTTTGAAACGAACTTCTAGTTGACTTTGCCTCAACACAAGTTTCACACTTGTGAGTTAAGTCAATACTAAACTTAGGTATGTGTTCCATGTTATTTAATTTCTGGAGAGATGCATAATTAACATGTCCTAGTCTACCATGCCATAAACTAGAAGACTCACACACATAAGCAAAGAGATTTTTATTAATCTTTTCAGGAACAGTCATTACATTTAGCTTTACAAGGATCATCCTTGTAAAGGATCATCCTCCTCAACAGATCATTGGAGATATCCAATCTGGTGTTCGTACAAGGAGTGCCCAACAGAATCTAGAAGCTATGCTTGCTTGTTTCATCTCACAAGTGGAACCAAAGAATATTGAAGAAGCTCTAGCTGATTCTGACTGGATCAATGCAATGCAAGAAGAACTCAACCAATTTTCCAGAAATGACGTCTGGAAACTTGTTCCCAGACCTACTCATCAACATGTCATTGGGACAAAGTGGGTCTTCCAGAACAAGATGGATGAAAACGGCGTTGTTGTCAGAAACAAAGCCCGATTAGTTGCAAAAGGATATTGTCAAGAAGAAGGTATAGATTTTGATGAAACCTTCGCTCCAGTTGCTAGACTTGAAGCTATAAGGCTGTTTCTAGCCTTTGCTGCTCATAAGGACTTCAAAGTCTATCAAATGGATGTCAAAAGCGCATTTCTCAACGGAAACCTCGAGGAAGAAGTTTATGTGGAACAACCTCCAGGATTTGAGTTACACACTAAGGGAGATCAAGTGTATAGACTCAAAAAGGCGCTGTATGGACTCAAACAAGCACCAAGAGCTTGGTATGATACATTGTCTAAATTTCTTATAGACAATGGATTTACCAAAGGAGTCATTGACAAGACATTGGTCCAAATCTATGTGGACGACATTATATTTGGCTCAACTAAGGAAGATCTCTGCACCAAGTTCTCAACCCTCATGCAAGGAAAATTTGAGATGAGCATGATGGGAGAACTCAACTACTTCCTTGGCCTTCAAATCAAACAGAGAAGCGAAGGAACTCTCATCAACCAAGCGAAGTATACAAGGGATCTTATCAAGAAATTCAAAGTTGATTAGAAGTCATCCGTTTCTGTCCCCATGAGTACATCCACCAAGCTTGATATGGATGTAGATGGAAAGGATGTAGATCAAACTCTCTACAGAGGAATTGTCGGATCTCTACTTTACCTTACTGCAAGCCGTCCGGATATCTCATATGCAGTAGGTGTTTGTGCGAGATTCCAGTCAAAGCCAAAGGAAAGTCATCTGATAGCAGCTAAAAGGATTCTTAGATACCTCAAGGGAACTCAAAACATGGGATTGTGGTATGCTAAGAACAATTCATTTGAGTTAGTGGGATACTCAGATTCTGACTTTGCCGGATGCAAAGTTGACCGGAAAAGTACATCGGGTACTTGTCAATTCATTGGCGGAAATCTTGTTTCTTGGTTCAGTAAGAAGCAAAACTCCATTTCTACATCAACAGCAGAAGCAGAGTACATTGCTGCTGGAAGTTGTTGTGCTCAAATTTTGTGGCTAAAGCAACAACTACTGGACTATGGAGTCAAGACAAAGGAAGTGACAATCTTTTGTGACAATCAAAGTGCTATAGCCATCTCTCAAAACCCAGTGCATCATTCTCGCACTAAGCACATTGATGTCAAGCATCACTTCATTAGAGATCATGTGGAAAAGAAAGATATCAAAATTGAGTATATCTCAACTTAAGAACAACTGGCGGATATCTTCACAAAACCACTAAGTGAAGCCAAGTTTTCCGATTTGCTTCACAAAATTGGTCTAATTCAATTAGACTGAGTGCGGTACACGTGGCGAACTACTTTCCACGTCTGTCAAAATATTGGGTAGGCACGTGGCCTTGGGAATAGTCAAAAACCCAATCGACACCAGCCGCGCAAATTCGGCTAAACTAAACCCAATCGCCACTATTCAGATCTAAACCGCCCATTCAAAATTCTTCGTCATCTTCTTCGCGAAAAACTCTCAAGAACCCTAGGCCTTTCTCTCTCAAATTCTCACTCAAATTTCTGAGAAAATGAAGGTTGTCGGCGCAAATGTCCACTTCCAGAAGTTAGAAGCCAAGTGCTCCTCACCGACATTCTTTCAAAACTATCTCGAGATGATGGCCGCTCAAGAACTCTCCGAATTTCTTCAAATGGAGATTCGCCTCAAATTCGAGGAAGAAGTTCTTGAATTCTACAGAAATGGAGAGGTCAAAACTGCTCATTCAAAGAAGGACCCACAGAGGACGTTTCCAGTCATCAAGTCCACTGTTGGGGGTACAAAAGTGAAGCTTTCGCAGAAGAAATTGGGAGAAAAGCTTCGCCTTCCCAATTCTGGAACTGAAGTTGGGAAATTTCCAGTCAAAAATCTGGACTGGAACATCATTGGAATCTCTGGACGAATTCCTTCTGGCGCAGCAAAGAAAGCAGATCTAAACAACGATTACAAGTTGGTTTTGGAACTGGTCATCGCCTGCCTCGAATGTGGAAGTGGAGGTCATGCCGATGACATCACCCAAGAGAGAGCCTTCATCATCAACTCTCTCATTACCAAAACTAAGGTAAACTGGGCTGCACACTTTTTCAAATCCATTTCAAAACATCTAGGAAAGCACAATCAGAAGTATCTCTATCAAGGTCTGTATATTGGACACATTTTGGAGTCCTTATGAGCTGCTTCTAAAGGGAAAAAGTATGAAGCCAGATACTGGCTATACTACTTATCCTCCAAAGGAGAAAACAGAGCTAGTGCTAGCGCCACTGCAGAAGAAAGCTCATCAGACAATGTTCCACTCATCAATTTGGCAAAGGCTGTCAAGAGAAAGCATGTGGTGTCCCCCTCTCCAAGTGTTGAAGCACCACAGAACCTTGCTTTGATCTGTTTGGAAGAGGAAGAAGAAGTCTCTGACCATGGAGAACTTCAAAGGAAGAAGAAGAGGAAGATCAACTCTCCCTCAACATCTGGAAATGTCAATCCGGATGAGTTGAAGGAGAAGGAACCTGCTGAGGAAACCTCTATTCAAAATCGGAGCCCTCAACAACTTGAAGAAGAAATTTCTCAAGTCCAAAGCCTTCCAACCTCATCACCTCAACCTCAAATAGATGATGCAGATAACCAATTCTGGCAGCTCTACTATGATTGGAAAGCCTGGAAAGTTGGGAATTCAGCAGAGCAACTGTTGAATTGGGACCAACAACTGAAGAATGAGAAGATCATCAAGAAGTGCTTAGGAATACCAGTCAACCACACCTGTGAACAAATTTTGGATGACTACTGGGTATGGCAAAGGAACCCTGAAGACTTGCATCTGGAATACCTGGCCAACACACCAGTTTCAGACTTTGAAGCAGATGATGAAGATCATGCAGTCTTCAAACCAGTCTTCTCAAAAGACACAGAAGATCAAGTGGTTCTCACTTCTGAAGAACAAGGCGTTTTGAAAGCAGCAGCTGAAGATTTCCAAACACTTCCGGAAACCTCACCTGATTTTGAAACGGAAACCTCACTTGCTTTTCGGGAAACTTCACATGCTTCTGAAATGGTTCTGACTGAAGTTGTCCAAGAGAATGCAACATCACCCCCACAAGAACAGAACCAGGAAACAGCAGCAGAAGAAGAATTTCATCAACTAATCCAATCTCAAGTTTTAGAGACTCTCACAACTCCTTGTGAGATCTCCAATCATACTGAAACTGAGATCCCGGAGAAGTTAACAGAACTTCCAGAACAGTCAACTTTTCCAGAAACAATGGAGCAAGCTGTTGAAGCGCAAAGGAACTCTGGAGAAGCTGAAAAGGAAACTCAAATGGCAGTAGTGGAGGTCTGTCAAACTCCAGTAGCCATTTTTGACGAACAGAATGCAGCTGAAGAAAGGGACTCCCTCTCTAGGGATATATCAAATTTTGCACTTGATGAAGCAGAAGGAGAATCTGAAAGAACACTAAAGGTTACTGATGAAGAAGATGTACAAGAAGATGCTGAATCTCTTCCTATGCAACTCTTCCAAAGAACACCATCCTCTCATCAGGTAACTAATTTTCATTTCCATAGCTCTTCCACTCCTACCCTTCCGGATATTGTACCGGAAATCTGGACAAAGAAGGTCCAAGGGCTGATTGAATCAGCCCTAGCATCTCAACATGCCTCCTTTAGGCAAGAGATAGAGCAAATGGAAGACAAGTACACCAAGCTTATAGAGAAATCTGAAGAGAAGCACAACACATATCTCAAGGAAATAAGCAAATCAGTAGAAAAGACTCTAGAGATCATCTCTCTTTTGAGTAAAACTGTGAGCAACACAATGGAAATATATGCCTCTGACAGTCAACTTCAATTCAAAGAGTTCAACACTGTCAAAGAGCAAATAGCGAGTGTCACAGTTGGTCTACAAAAACAGATGTCCCTTCTCCAAATGGACATCAGATCAGCCTTAGCAGTAGCTTCTGCAAATCAGGTAGTGACCAAAGACTACTTGAAGGTGATCATTGACAATCAAAAGGAAGCATACAAGCTGTTTAGACTTATTGGTGCAAATTCTGGGAACCGCAAGATGGAAGTAATTCTCCAACAACACAGTCCATCTCCAATACCACAGCTCCCTATTGCAGTCAAAGAAGGAGAAGTATCTTACATTCCTTCTCATCTGAACATGACAAATCTAATCCTTGAAGCACAGCAAAGAAATCCGGAAAACTCAGCACAGCATCTATCCAGCTCAGGACTGGACCGAACAGAATTTATAGGTATAGTTGTTGACCACTTCTCAAATGATGCTCAATTAGAAGAGAGATGTGCAAATTTAAGGCGCATCAAAGAACTGTGTGGGAACATGCAGGGCCTCAGTGAGGTTGCCGGATCTTCAAAACGCAAGAGGAATTGAAGGTTCTTTTCATCAAAGCAGGGGGAAAGTATGTGAAAACACAAATTTGTTTTGATGAAAACACCTTCTTGTTTAAATATTGCTTGATTGGTTTAAACATTGCAACATTGCTTCAACAATTTTCTTAATTGCGCTTATTATGCTCGATTATGCTTATCTCAAGTATGATTTCGAGAATTTTTTTTTTCTGAAGCGCATACATTCAGGGGGAACTTAACTGGTTTTGGCTAATAATTGTTTTTGGCTATGAATTATTGATGAGCTCTAAGCAATGGAAGTCGGATATCTCAGTTTTGGTACAAAAATTGGAAATCTCCGATTCAGGTACTTTACAAAATCTGCCTTCTTAAACTAAGCTTTAATCCTAAATTCATTTCCAACTAGCTCTAAAAGTACTGGTCCTTAGGATTTTTATAATGTACAGGACTTTGGAAAACTAGTACCACTTTTCTTTTAAAAATAAAATTCATATTTGTTTTGGTACTACCTCGTCCTAAGTAGAAATTAGAATTATAGGGAATGAAAAATGATAGTTTTATTTTGGGCCTTGAGAACCCAATAGGAATAATTTCCCTTTAGTACATAGCTTTCTTTTCTTTTTGGGCCACTCTTTTGGGCTTAGCCAAACTAAAACAGTTACGTTTCTCAAACCAAACGAAACTGATTTTCTAATTGGAACAGTTTCAGTATATTGGTAACTGGAAAAAGATTCCTTCTACTTTTCAACTTCTTGGAAGTTGAAACTCCTTTACTCTCACCGTTCCAACTACTCACTTAAATGGAACCCGTGAACCTCCTCCTCCCCTATTTAAATCAAGACACTCCAATCCATTTCCATCACAAACAACTCTCTCAATATGAAAGTCTTCAAGTTCACTGTCTGAGAAAAACACCAAGAAAATATCCTCAATGGAGAAATTTTTCTTTCTCACCCTCATAGACGGCAATGGAGAAAAGCCTAGTGAGAAGGAAAGTAACTCAAAGTTTATGGTGCAATTCTCGGCAGTTCACAAAATCTCAATACAAGACTTGGTTTAGGAATTGCTGTAATTTGAATTGTATCTGTTTAAGAGTTTTTGTTAACAAGCTGTATATTATGAGAAACTAAAAGAAAGTTATAAAATTAGTTCTCAGTACAGCGACCGGAACTCTTAAACACTTGTTTGTCATCATCAAAAAGGGGGAAATTGTTGGGAAAAATATTATAGATTTTGATGATGATGTATTTAGAATGTAATAGGGACTTTAGGTCTCCCCCAATATTCAATGTAATTTTTCTTTTTAGAAATACTGTCAAAACCGAGTTCTTGAGATTTCCAATAAAGTTGTGATGTTTCTTTAAGCGTTTTGATGCCTGAAGACTTAATCAAATTCA